ATACCTGCTCCAAAACTCTGGCTATCTACCCACCTGAACTCTACTGCCCAGGGGAGTGGTACCAACTGCGAAGTGACACCCCTTCCCACCCTGGGGGAGTGTGACCCTGGCCTGCATGGCACCCTGAGCACACACTGAAAGGCTCAAGATTTGCTGAGGCTTGCCATTTTTGCTCGAGCACTCTGCTGCAAACAGCAGTCACCTAGCTTTGTGAACCAAACTGAACCAAGGAATGCCTGCAGAAGAGCTGTGAACTGGACTCATGATGAGACGCTGGACCTCAGCATAATCTGGGGTGAGAAGAGAACCATCACCACTACTGCCAAGGGCAGGAAAGGCACCAAACAAAGCCAGATGTTTTGCGAGTGCATGGCATCCTAGATGGTGGCTTGGGAGCACCAGCAGGACTAGCAGCCATTCTGCATCAAAATCAAGAGCATGAAAGTACACTGTGTTTGGGGCAGGGACACCAACAAGGTCTCAGATGTCACAAGGAGCATGGTCCCCTACCACGAGGAGCTGGCAAGGCTTCTGGAGGCAGACCATGCCATTGCTCCTTGCCACATCATGCATGGCACACCTGTGGGCCTAGTACAGTGTAATGATGATGATAGAAATGATAATGGAGCCCTTTTTCTGCTGTCTACTACCAAAACAGCCATGAAGAGCATGAGGATATGTGCTCATTGGACTTGTTCCCCACCCAGACTCTGACCCTAACTCAGATCCAGTACATGACAGGGACAGCTCAGACAAGACCCGCATTGAGCAAGCAGACACAGACAACCCAATGCAAGCCACTGGTAAGTTTCAGCAGATCCAGGGGAAAGGGTGATTTCCACCATCAAAGACATGGCAGGTAGCAGTCCTGTACACACCTCTTTGGGGCCCAGGTGTGGATGGGTCCAGATCCAGGGAATACTGTCATTGTTCAGGTCCTGGCATGGTAGCTGCCTCTATAACCCCAGGGATACTGGGTACTGCTGTTTCAGGTGGCAGTGAAAACGGTCACGCTTTAGGATTCCAGGTCTCTCTCTCAGATTGGGGTCATGACAGGGGCAAAAAGACAAGTTAGCATGGGAGGTGGGTGCCTTCTTAACAGGAACATCTCAGAGGGAGATGTTAGCTAGCTGACAGCAGGTAGGTGAGAGAATGCTTACCATGACGCAGTCCTGATCTTGTTCTGGTTGCTCATGGAAGTGAGTTTGCTGGGAAAGCAAGGTACTCAGGCTTTCCCTCACAATATCTTCAAGTTTTTAACAATTTCAAAGTCTGCCCGGCTATCAGCACACCTGCAAGTATGTGTGGGAACCCAGAACCAACACATATTATCTGCTAACTACGGAAACATACTCAAGATCTCTTCTACTAGGTTTACTCTTCAGTGTTAGGTGTGGACTGTGAGAGCTTGGGAGGTTTCAGCATGGATGCTACCCCAAGGACATGAAGGAACACACCTGCTCAGACGATGTCCCATAGGGGAAAACGTTGGTAGGATCAGAGAGATCAGATGCTGGAGGACCTTGTGAGGTCTTCCACATGCAGAGCTACTACTGAGAGCTGGCTTGCATCAGCAGGACTAGTCAGAAGAGTTCTAAGAGCTCTTCAGCAGACTTTTGTGACTGAGGATTGCTAGGTCCTGGAACTGATGCAAGGACTGGTGAGGGGCTCAGTGAAGGTCCAGGAATTGGCCCTCTATGCCCATGTGTCCCTTTGGTATGTCATAGTCATGCAAGTCCTTTATACTTCCATGCCACAGCAGCCTCAGGGACCTTCCCAGTCCAGCAGTTAGTGTGAAAGTCGTTTACTGATATTTTAGAAAATCACATTAAATATACAGCACAGTAAATGAAGGGTTCACAATCGCTCAGAAGCGTTGTGCACTACCTCCTGCCTGGAAGAACATTGTCCCAGAAAGTAGTCAGCCAAGCTTTCCCTGATCAGAACAGCCTGCTGGTGGTTATGTTCGTGACATTCAGGTAGGACTGCTGCTTTAGACCAGTCTCCATTCAAAGTGCCAGGTGCTCCCACTGCCATGGGCCCCTCTGGAGCTAGCTCAGTTTCCATTAAGGCTTTCCCCTCACCTTATATATATTGCAGAGGATGCAGGAAGTGGCCATGACACTGGGAATGTTCCTCAACCTGAGTTCAATCAGACCCCCAGGGAATTCCAGCATACCTTTAGGCACCCAAAGGTACACTCCAACACCATCTGATAGCTGCTTAATCAGTAACTGAAGAACTCCTTCCTGGGGGCCAGCCAGTTTTCATGAGCCAGGGGAGCAGTGGGTAGGCCAGGTCTCTGATCAGTGGGTTCAAATCCATGGTGTCAGTGCCAGGAGTGAACTTCTCCCACTCCATCATCCCCATGAAACTGAAGTTCCTGAGATACATGGGCATTGTGTACCCTGCCTGACTACCCAACAGTGATGTTAGCGAAGTGCACAGAATGGGTATGGGTTCCATCAATGGTCCCCATGCAGTTCAAGAAGCCCATCTGTTCGAACCCAGTGACATCTGAGCTTTTTCACTTGTTTTTTGGCTACACAAAAATAATACAGCAATTCGTCTGTTGCAAAGAACTCAGACTATAACAGGTTAGAGTGGCTTTGACACTATAAATTCTTATTTGCAATCTGCAGGGTTATCCTGTGAAACACGTGTAGGTAGTTGCACACTTAACAGTGCAGTGCTTTTTGTGCAGCATCCTAAAAATGATCTCATGCACAGGTCCCATGGCACTGGGGTTGAGAATCATTGCCATAAAGGTTAGAATTTTTTTTGTCTGAGGTTAATAATATGACTTAAGAAGCTTGGGTCTCATTCTATAGTAACAGTCTTTATTTGGTCCTGAAAATGTATAAGTCTTTCAGTTACCCTTTGCATGCTTGATACCTGAAACTGTCAGTCATCTATCCATGGCAATGGTACCTTGGTTGTGTAATTTCTTGATCAGTTTCCAGGTCACTGCCAGCTTATATAGAATATTTCTGATCTGTGTTTGGTGCCCATAAACATAAACATAGTATTAATGCATTTTCATCTAAAAGATCTGCAGTCATATTTAGGAAGACAACTCCTCCCACATGGATTCACTAGGTACAGACCAATACTTTTTGTGGTTATTACTAGCTACAAATGAATGTTCAAAATATTACTGACATTTAGATGTGTCAGGTGTTCCACTGACACTTTTCACTACAAAGTTAACTGTTCTTTCCAGAAAACGCCCCATTATAAAGCAACTTTATAAAAAGAGAAAAACCACCTACTCAACATAATAATGTGTTACTTATCTTCATTATAACATAGTTAAATACACTGCCTTCTATTATGGAGGACAAGAGTTAGAATCTTACTGGAAATTACTCACTTTCTGTACTTTTAAGGGTCCTATTTACTGAAGAATGTCAGGGAGATATACAGTCCATGTAGTTTAAGTAAACACTGGTTTTATATTCAGCAAAGACTCAGTAAACTGGAAGTGTAATCAATTGATATTTTTCCCCTCATTGATTCCAAGACTGAAAATGGAATACAGTATGTGGTTTACTTACAACAATGAATAAAAAGCTTTGCATGAACATAGTGCAAATCAGCTCCCACACGTAAAAGAAATCTTGTTTACAGTTAAAAGGACTAGGTTTCTTCATTATTGTAAGGTCATCTCTGCATCATAATTTTTAAAAATAAAAGCACTTCCTCCACTTTGAAGCCATGAAATCTGACATTTACATCATAATCATATTCTTGAACAGGAAAAATTAATTTGCAAACAGCATGAGCAGTGTTAATCTTGTGTTCCATATTTTGTATAGTGTAAAATCTCTCCCTCCTAATAAAACAGGGCAGGATTACCCCAACAAACAATATGTAAAGCACCCTAATTCCCATCACTCCCTTATGCACATAAATCATGCTGAAAGTAAAGCAGAAAGAACAGTAAAGAGAAATAAGACCTGAAAGTCTCAGTTTAATAGCAATCTTCTGTTATACTGGATTAATATGTAATCACATTAGAATTTAGCATTTATTTTCACTAACAAAACCTGAAGGAGAGATGCAGACTTTAACTTTCAGCCAAACTAGATTCTAATATCATTACAAAGGGACTTGAATGGTAATAA